CAAATATGGCCACTAACAAACGTAGCCAAATCTAAGCCAACACTTGCTCGACATTCCAAATAGAATTTCTGTCGCGACCAATTTGGTCTACTTCGCCGCAAACATTCTTCACGTACATACATGAAGCGGCTCCATTATTCGGAAGGTGCCAACCGCACGAGAACCAACACGATCGCTGAGAAGTGAACAACGAAATGCAAAGAAACAATCGAAAACACCAAAAAGCATTTGAAGAAAAATGATAGCATGAAAATAACACAACACGGAATAAAATGGATACAGCATAAATGGGAATGTAAGAAATGATAGCTAAAAGGAAGGAAAACGATAGCAGAACTCTAATTCAACAATATAACCTACTCAGTCATTATCTTTCGCATCACGTAAATACAACATACAATTGATGGTTAAAGAGTGATTTGAACTGGTATTTATTGTGGAAGTTTCCACATAACTTTACATTTGCTCTATGATAGCATTCCGAAACGGATCGAACACAATTGAAATCAAATACAAATATTTGAATAAAAAACAAAAAACACATAAAACGTTTGTCTTCCGGACAAACACATTTTACAACCTCTACTGTTTACATGAATTATTACAGATCGTAAGAATATACGTAAGAAAATTGAACCGTTGCGTTAACAATAAAACTGTCACTTTATGACAGAGACGAACTGAAATCATTCAATTTGAGAACAACACAAAGATTTGAGATAATTTGTTCGAAAGAACTAATGAAGGATCACATCATAATTCAAAAAAGTTTTCGCATGAAAAAAAAGTAGGAACATCACGTCATAATTCTCAAAACACGAGAATAAACATAAAACTTTGGGACAAAACTGGGTCAAAACAATTCGGGATGCGTCCTTATTTTCGTTACGCTACGCGATTCAGCAAAAAGTTGTGTATTCTCGATCGAATCGCTGATTTGACCACTCACGCCTGACGCACCTACTATAGCAATTCAACATATTTAAATGCGTGGAATGAATGGGAATGTTCAATATTAAGAAAGACATATTGTATAATGAAAATTACGTTATCAAAACACACGAGAAGTGCGTTCAAAGGAACCACGGCACTATACAAAGGCCGAAATAATATTCCAATGGAGAAATCAATTGAGTGAAGCAGTTCGTGAAACGAAAATGTTCGATAGTCAAAAAAAATTGACTGATTATTGTCGTGCAGATGAAGGCAACGGTAAACGACTGCCGTGGTAGGATTTTACCGGATGTGATGAGACGGAACAATGAGAAGATAAATTCGGACGATGCGGTAATTTGTTCGCGTTTTGATCGGATTCGTGAATATCGTTTGATGGATTGTACTGAAAACACATCATCTTAGTCATGCATCGACGATGACCGCGTGAAAATAAATCAGCAATGCAATTCACTAATAAGCACATTCACAAGCGTTCAGAATATAAACTTACCCTAGTGACAGGCGCCGTTATTGGACGATTGGAGAGAGAAGCGTTTGTCGTCGATAAGGGAGCATTCTTGGTGAGTAAACGAACGGGCCCTGAAAGTGTACTGTTTATAGAAGTTCCGAGTTGAGATGAGTGAATATTTCTGATTGCGTCGAAACTACTCTAAATGATCGCCACCCAAATTCCCTGATGGGGAAAATCAGATTCTGATGTCTTGAAAGACGTCACCTGCTCCTCTCGCTGATGAGTATCCACTCGTTGTTGCATTCTGTGGTACTGAACGTCCGGCTGAAGGATTTCTGACACGACTGCGATCTGAAAATTCCACAAATAAAACTCATTCACTTACAAGTGCATCCAAGGAAATCTGTACCAGAGAATGCAATTTGAAAATGAATAACTGCGGAATTGGTTAAAAAAAACGGTGCAGTAATGAAAGCTTCAAATTCATCAACTGACAATCCTTATTCTGCGCTTTTGATTGCTCGGCAGCACGCCTTTGCGCAAGTCTGGCAATGTGCTCCTCAACGCCTCGTGCTTGAGAGGCCATCACGACGTGATGGCTTCGGGCTGATTGTGGTGCTGATGCAACATTGTGACGAATGTCACCAGCGGATGGCATCTAAACAAATATCAACAGTCAATTCGCACATTCATTCATTTGCAGCTCTCATGAGTAGTTCATTCATTCAATTTCGAGTAATTTAATGGAATATTATACACTAAAATTTATTTTCAGCTTGAACACAACAAAACTGAGTTCAGAAACCATACATTTCTGATACAAAACAAAGGAAAACAAATATGATTTGATTACCTTTCTCGGCCCTGATGCGAAATTATATTGCTGAGGTGTTTGTGTGGCATTACCGTTTGTTAGAGGACTGACAGCGCGATTGATTGATGAACTAGCCCTTCTTGGATGAGCAGACAAATGTGGAGTGCTAACCGATGATGATATATTCGTTTTTGGTGTTCCTCCTCCTTTACGAGCTGCCATCATACGTGCGAGATGTTGATCTTGTGCACGCTGCAACAAACAATTTCAATTAATAATCACAAACGAAAAGAAATTCGAAGACATCCAAAACAGAACAACAAAATGAAGAGACGATCATGAAGGTTTGTTGCTTAAAAGCTTCAAATGATGTGCTCTGAGATTCTACTCCACAAAAATGAATAATTTCATTTAAATTGAGCAAAGCCCGAAAAATTTACACCGAAAAAGTGACTGAATGGAACTCTTCGAAAAACGAATTACCGTAGTTTGCTGCGGTCGTTTGTTATGACCAATTGCAGTTGCAGGTTTACGCG